CCCAGGACTCTTCTCTTGCCAATAGGGCAGGGGAGAGAAGGGAGCAGAGGCAAGAGCAGGGTGAAAACAGAAGAAGGGCCTAGTTCCTTCTGGCTCCAGACTCTCCGAGGACAACTTCTCTACTTTTCCTGGACAGACCCCATTCCCTCTTCCCCACTTCTACTGAGGTAAGACCATTCCATGCCCATTCCCCTACCCCAGCCCCCTCATTGCATCCTGGCAGGTTGTCCCCAGTGAGTCTTAACTAGTCAGGCCCATGACACCATGCTGACAGCTTGTAGGTTTTAGGGCTGTGCAAGGAAGCATTGGCTTGGAGAGGCTCAGCTCAAGCCTCTTGCTCAACCCTAAGGGCCATAAAAATCATCTTTAATAGTCTGGTGGGAGGGAGGCAGATGGGGCAAGATAAGGGAAGGAAAGCCCTGTTGTTGTTGTGTGCCATCGAGTCTGCCCTGACTCATAGCGACCCCTCCTTGGGTTAGCGACCCCTCCTTGGGTTAGCGACCCCTCCTTGGGTTTCCGAGGCAGTATCACTACGGAAGTAGGATTGCCCAACCTTCCTTCCGAGGAGTGGCTGGTGGGTTTGAACCGCCAGCCGTCTGGTGAGCAGGCAAGTGCCTTAGCCACTATGCTACCAGAGCTCCTAAGGAAAGCCCTAGTAACTTTAAATTGTGGCTGGAAGAAGGAGGTACAGAACAAGAGGAATGCCACTGGTTGGGGGAGTGAAAATATCTGCAGCCCACTGTCCTCTACCCCCGAACTAGAAGTGGGAAACAGTGGCTACATCACCAGCCAGCACTCAGACAGGAAGACAGGTCTGACCCATTGAGGTCCAGAACCCACACAGGCTCCTTATCCAGGTCAGAGAAAGGGAGGGGCTCTACAGGGCAGGGGGTCTGAGTGTCCCAGGGAGGGGTGAGTACATCCCCATCCTGAACTCATCCTGAATTTGTAGACTTTTCTCTCCTTTACTTCATGTGTACCTATGTCCTTTACCTCTCTGAGCCTCTACTTGTTTCCCTATAAAATGGGGCTAAATATAGCTCCTCTAAAGGGTTGTACAAGGATTTAAATGTAATGTGGATAAAGCCCCTGGCCCAGAGCAAGACTGTCATAGTTTCCTCACTGCAAAGCTCCAGGCTGCCAGATTACTGAACTGACACTAAAAAGGGCTGTTGACTTGGTCAGGCATGGACCAACTTAATGATTAAACCCAACCTGCAGTTTGAATTTATCCTCTTCACCAACCTGAATGTCCAGAGAGGCCCACAGGCGTGGAAGGAAAGGACTGGAATATTCTGGTGGGAAAAGAAGGGGAAGAGTCCCTCCCTCCAAATTCCCAGACCTAGAAAATGCTTCCTTTCCTCTACTCCCATGTGTTCCAACCTCCAAAAAAAAACAACAAACAACCCTGATTAAAGCTAATGGGATTAAGAGAAAAGGACCATCTGGTATTAGGAGTCAGATAGATCTGAGGACTTCTGATCTGCCACTGTCTCACTGTGAGTCTGGGTAAGTGTCTTACCCTCTCTGCCTCACTTTCCTCATCTGTAAAGTGGAGGAGATGGCACCTTACTTTGCAGGATTGAATTGCAACTGAAAAGAGAACTGGTAAAGGACACAGTAGGAGCTTAACAAATACAAGTTCCCATGCTAGTCTCTTCACATTTCTGTTTATAGGGCATTTGTCTGGATTTGCTGATGGCATAGTGCCTAAGGCATTTGACTACTAACCAGAAGGTTGGAGGTTCAAACCCACCAGCCACTCCATGGAAAGAAGACTGGGTGATCTACTTCCATAAAACCCAAACTAGGAAACCCAAAGGGGGTTGCTATGAGTCAGAATCGACTCGATGGCAATGAGTTTTTTTTTTTTTTGGCTGATGAACATGGCAAGGGCTGCCCAGAGGCTTCTCTGTAATCAGCCATAAAGGACCTTTCCTTTTCTCTGGCATTTCCTTATTGTACATAATAGTATACTATACACATGGCGGGGCACGCAATAAATGTTATCTGAACCAAAGATTGGGAGGCCATGTGATGTCAGAGAAAAAATGCAGGACTTTGGAGCAGAATAAACCTGGACTTCAGTCCTGGTCTTGACAAGTGGATGAGTGCTATGAGCTGGACAAGCCATTTTACCAGTCTGAGCCTCAGTTTCCTCATCTGTAAAATGGGGATGAGAAACCCTAACTTGCAGGGTTATTGCAAGAATTAAATTAATTCAACACTTATTTACTAGGTATGTATTACATACTAGTCACTGCTTCAGTTGCTGAACATACAGCAGCGAACAAAACTGACAAAATCCTACCTGGGGGAGATAGATACTACACACAATAGGAAATCATATGGTGGTGCAAGCTAAGGAGAAACCCTTATTAAAGGGAGTAGGTAGTGTTGGGGGTGGGGGCAATGGTGGGACCCGTTTTGGAGCAGAGACCTAAAGGGAGCGAGAGGGAGCCCCGTAGAAATCTGGAGGAAGAATATTCCAGGCAGAGGGACCAGCAAGTGCAGGGGCCCTAAGGAGACACAGGCTTGGCATGTAGACACAGCCACATATGCAAGAAGCCTGGCACGGAATCCAGGTGCTCGGCAAATGCCAGCTCTCTATTTCCAGTCCTGTAGAACAAACCCCACGCATGTGTCCTTTTCCTGAGAACGAAAACACAAGGATTTTTACAGGGCAAGACTGAGCCAAGTGTTCTTTCAGCCTAAGATTTAGGCAGCAGTCAAGCTCTACCACCGGTTTCTGAGCCCCTGCCAAGCACCAGGCCCTGTGCCGGGCAACCAGGGATACAAGATGATCAAGACAGGGCTCTGTCCTCAGGGAGCTCCAAAGTGAATCGCAGATAATGACAAAAGTAAATGTGGTCAGATGGACAAGCAGAGACTTAGAAGTTACCCAAGGGCAGAGTGCAGGATGGGGCTGGGTGTGTGGGTGGTTAGGGAAGGCTTCCTGGGGGAGGTAACAAACAAGCTGGATTCTGAGAAATGGACTGGATAGGAAAAGGATATTCCAGGTGTGAGCAACAGCAAGTGCTGAGCACAGAGGTGTAAAAAACAACACAATGTGTGCAAGAAACTAATTATAGGAAGGTCAGAAAAGAATAAACAGTCCTTCACACTTCATATTCTTGGTATCTGTAACCTGATGGGGCTCAGGAATGCCAGTTCTCTGTCCTTCCCCAAACTCAATGCAAGCTTCAAGACCCAGTGGAGAATTTCAATTTCCCACACTTGGCTACTGCAACATGTTAACTTCAGCCTCCCAGCAAGGGTGCCCAGAGTGAGGGCTGGGTGGGATGGAGACTGAATAAATATCCTGCTATAACAACAAGAAGAACATATTTAGCTCACCTGGCATGTGTCTGTCTCTACATCCACCCCAAGGCTGACCCACAGGTGTCAGAATGACTTATTATTTTTTTTAAAAAAACTAGAACAGCATAAACATTTTTTAATTAAGAAATCCTCCAAAGGGGCCCATACCTCAGCCTAGTATCTTTGTGACTAGAAAATCTGCAGCTTTATTTGCCAGTTTCCCTGGCCACCTCCTGACTGGGTAGGTGGGTGGGTCCATATCAGGGCAACAGCCTTGTGCAGATCTGGGTTTGAATCGTCCCCCTACCACTGACCAGCTGGAGACCCTCTGCTAGTAACTTCACCTCTCTGAGAATTCAGAGGTTTGAGTTCAACAGCCTTAAAACTGTCTAGAGATTCAAACAGGAGTGGGCTCCTCTTCCATGAACCGTCTTTGGGATCCGGGATTTAGCACCTGTCCACTTCAGTGCCCTCCAGGGGAACAAAGAATTATTTTTGATAACTGAATATAACTCCTAGAAGGGAGGACTATGTGGGAGTGTTACAGCACAGAAAGGGTGACTTGTCTGTCCTCTCCTTCTCCTCCTAAAATCTACTTCTCAGAACAGGGATGGAGTGCTGCCCTCCCCTAAAACCTCATGCTAAATTTGCTCCCCAGGTGACTTGCTTCCCCACTGAGCTGGGCCTTCCTACTTTAAACACAAACACCTCTCTCATCTTCTGCCCAAAGGATGCTACAGATGCCCAATGCCCAGCCATAAGCAAGAATGAAGACTTATCTTGGGGGAAGGGCTTGGGGGAGCGTGAGGAGCCAATGTAGTCTCCCCTGTTAGCTGTGTGACCTTGGGTGAGTCATATCTCCTCTCTGAGCCCCAATTTATTCATTGGTAAAATGGAGATACACATCTTTAACGCGAAGCTTCTTTGCATACAGCTGGGGTATGCAGAGCACCTAGCACAGAGCTCGTGTGTGTTCCCGAATTACCAGGTATTTTCTATTAAGGCCTCCCCTGCTTCCTCACTCCCACCTCATCCCCCTTCTCTGGATCCCCTCACTCCAGCCCCGGAAATTCTGAAGTGGCTCGAACTAGGAGGCGATGCACTCAGCCGTGGCGACTCCAGGGGGCTCTAGCCCCCAGTTGGGCGGACACCAGAGGGGGGCGCAGCCGGGGTGCGCTTGGGAACGCGGCCAAGCAAAAGAGCATGTGTCGCGGAGGCTCCGGGCGCCTAGAAACTGGGGTCCTTTGCGAGCACCCCTCACTCAACAGCTGTAGTCTCGGCACAACCGGCGCTTCTGGCCGTCGGAAGCTGAAGCCGCCAGGCTCCAGTCATCTCCTGGAGCGCCCCGGGCTCTCTCCTCAGCGCCCTCGGGCTGGAACAAAGACGAGGGGGCGCGCGGCATCGCCCCAGCGGCCCCATTTGCGCAGCTGGCCAAAGCCGGGAGAATGAGAACGGGGGTCCCCAAGGTAACCAGGACGCGGTGCCCGCCCTCCCGGAGCGCAAAGCACAGCGGTGGGGAGCGCATGGAACTGGGGTCCGAAAGGAGCCGGAGACTCCAGCCCGCTGCAAGCCGAGGGCTCCAAGGAGAGGCAGGCTCTCCGGGAGTCACCAGTAGGGCATCCTCCCGGGGAGAGGAGAACCCCTGCGTCCGATTCCCGGGTAGGGGTCCCCAGCATTACCTGGCAAGGTCCTGTGTACAGTGTTGCCCATCTCTGCTTTGGGGCGAGGCGTTATCGGCGGCGCGCGCGCGTGGGGGCTAATTGCGCGGCGGACCGGGGACCGGGGCTGAGGTCCAGCTCCGGGGCATCGCCGCTGCACTGTCGAGCCCGCGGGCGGCAGCCAGGGCGGGCGCCGGGAGCTAGGCGGCCGGGCGGCGGCGAGAGGAGGCGGAGCCATCGGCCCGGGCCCGCCGGCTCCGCCCCCGCCGCCCGCTGCCTTCAACTGTGGAGGGGCGGGGCCGCGACCGCGGCATCTTTTGAAAGTTTGCACCGGTTGGCGGGAGGGGAACGCCGAACCATCCGCCCTCGCAGCTCCCGCGCCCGGGCCTTGACGGCGCACTGGGCAGTTGAGAGTGCCCTCGGGCTCGCTAGCCTGCTTGTAGTGCTTTTACTCAGTTGTTCCAATACTCTGGGAAAGTCTACTGTGTGCCAGGCCCTCTCTTTTCCAGGTCCTGGGCCTCAGGGGCCAAGTCGTCGCCCTCGCGGAGCTCTTATGGAAGGCGGGGGACATACAGCGGGACGGAAGGTGGCTTCGAACTGTGTAAAGGGCTTGAAGTCTGTACAGCCGAGTTGCCTAGGGTGGGGATGGAGTTTGTTCTACCCCAAAGACCCCAAAGTAGGAGACACTTAGGCCGGTGCCCAAAGGTTGGAAGGATGAATTTGATATCCATTCATTCACTCTTCATTAAAATATTTACTGAGCATGTCCCAGGTGACGCCTGTTCATGCAGCAATCAAGAGGTCAGACAAGGTCCTCACTTCGTGGAGTTCTGTAGTAGTGGCAATGACAGAATATAATGATTAAAGCCACGCAGAAAATAAGATAGTGATGGGATGACTTTATTTTGGTGGGTCAGAGAGAACATACGGGGCATGTAAGCACCATCTGATGAACAGGAAGGAATCAGCCATGGAAAGAGCTGGCAGAGGCAGTAACACAAGTTCCTCATTTACTCCATAGGTATTTTCTGAGAACCTATCCTATACAAGGAATTCTGGTGGTAGTGTCTAAGGCATCTAACTGCTAACCAGAAGGCTGGCTGTTCAAACACACCAGCCACTCCTCAGAAGGAAGACTGGGCAATCTACTTCCCTAGCGGCATCACCTGGGAAAACCAAGGAGGGTTTGCTATGAGTCGGAATCGCTATGAGTCAGAATCTCTGTAAGTCAGAATCCACTTGACGGCAGTGAGAGGGTATCCTATACAGGCATGTGGGAGACTCCTGGGACACACTCAGTGGAGAGTGAAGCGTACTAGCTAGCCCCCTGCACTCATTGGGCTACATTTTACACATGGGAACATAGAACTTCAGGAGGTGCAATGGCTGGCCCAAGAAGACCTGATTCCAAACCAGTTTTTCGAGACTCTACTTTTCATGCTCAAAACCTTATAAAATACTTCCTGTTACCCCAGTTTTACAGATGGGCAAACTGAGGCTCAGAGAGTAGAAGAGAAGTGCCCACGATCTTACAGCTGGTCAGCGGCAAGACTGGCCTGAAGTTATGTAAATGAAAAGAGGAGTATCTAGCAGAGAACCTCCTAGCTTGGTTTCTCCAGTACCTTTGGCTTGTACTGCCAGGCTCATCCCAGAGAATTCTCACTCTTCAAGGGTGGCTCAAAGCATGAACCTCTGGGAAGCCTTCCCTATTCCTCACCCACCCCAACTTATCATATATGTCTGAACATAAGGCTGCCTTGACCACAAAGTCCTGTTTGGGAAAAGCATCTTAGCTCAATATTCCCTCCATCCACGTGAGTTTGGGATGTATATGGAAGTCAGCATTATTAAAAAAGGAGTTGAGGGAATTTTACTCAGATAAAGCAATAAAGAGTAAATGGGACTTTGTGGCTCCAAGGGTGGGAGGTTGTTGCAAACGGGCCTTTCACAGGCCACTTTCAGAGCCCCCAAGTAATTGGTCATGTTGTACAGACCACAAATGCACACCTCCAGTACACAAGGCCCTGGCTGTCCTGAGATTCTGCAGGTGTCCCCTATGGGGACATGCATTCGAAAGGGCTGTGCTCCAGGAAACTGGAAAAGCCCCCTTCCTCCCGTGATGGTAACACTGGTGTTAAAAGCACATGTAAAGAAGTTGAACCAAATACTTACTTGAAATTTGAGAGTAGACAAAAGCAGTCTTTCCAAATTAATGGAAGATCTTATATAAAAATGATTTTAAACATGTACTAACTGAAGTCGTAAACTAAATATTATGAGTACACATCTATTTCATCTCCATTTCTTAAAGTTCATATCATTCAGTTTTATTATGCATCTTCTCATTGGGAGAATAGGGATTGGCCTTGGCTTTTACTTGAGTTGCCTTATATTTGGGTGTATATGGTATTTTCTCACCCCTCTCAGGTCCTCCATTCTACCCTGGAGGCAGATGCTCTAGCTGTTATCCTTCTGTCATCTCCACTGCAGACCGGGTGCAAGCCATATTCATCTATGAATCGTCAGTGCCCGGCATATACAATATAGTGCTCAATAGACAGTTGAATCAACTGACTGCAGAGAGGCATTGCTCTGAGCTGGGAGAAAATAGGAGAGAAGGAGGAAGAAGGGAAGGAAGAAAGGAAGTGTTGTGAAGGAATGACTTTTATTATTTATTTTTAACTTTTTATTGTAATTTCAGTGAAAGTTTATAGAGAAAATTGGTTTTCCATTCAACAATTCATGCACATTTTGTTTCATGACATTGATTACAATCCCCACAATGTCCAGAACTCTTCCTACTTTCTCTGTGTGTTTCCTGTTTCCATTCATCTTTCTTTCCTATCACTTTGTGCCTTTTGAGCTTTATCCTTGGACATATGCTACCCTTTTGATCTCATGTGGTTGACTGATCTAAAGAGTCCATACTTCCCTGGTGTTATTGTTCATCTTATTGGCCTGTCTATAGTTTGGCTGAAAGTTGAGCCGCAGGGATGAGTTCAGTTCCAAGCTTGAAGGGTGACCACACTCTTGGGGATTCCACCAGTCTCTATCAGACCACCAAGCCTGGTCCTTTATTATTATTATTTTGAGTTTTGTTCCACATTTTTTCCCCACTCTATCCAGGACCTTCTATTGTTGATCCCTTTTGGACCAGTCAATAGTGGTAGCTGGGTACTATCTAGTTCTGATCTCAGGGTCATGGAGGCTAGGGTTTATGTTGTCCATTAGTCCTTTGGACTAATTGTTGCCATGTGTCTTTGATTTTTTTCACTCTTTTTTTCTTCAGGTGGGAAGAGAACAATAGTTGTACCTTAGATGGCCACTTGCTAGCTTTTAAGAGCCCGGTCACTACTTTCCACCATAGGATGTAGAACATTATCTCTGTGGGTTATGTTATGCCAAATGATTTAGCTGTTCCCTGAGACTGAGGTCCTAAGCCCCCAAGCCCAGTGACTCAAGGAATGAGCTTTAGTTGTCTTGATTCCTAGTATGATCAATAGTTCTATGTGTTATGTAGTTATTGTGTGTCATAGAGTCAATTTTGGCTCATAGTGACCCCATGTGACATAGAACTGACCCATAAGGTTTTCTAGGCTGTAATCTTCATGGGAGTAGATGTCCAGGTCTTTTCCCACTGGATGGATTTGAACTGCCAACCTATTGTTTAACAGCCAAGTACTTAACCATTGTACTGCAAGGGTGGGAAGATAGAAAACAATCAGTCAGGGATGCATTGGTAGAAGTATAGTCTCTAGAACAAAGGAGGTCTTGCTGCTTCAGTGCATGCTGATTAGACTGTTCTAGGAGATGTTTCTTTGGTTTTGGGCACCACACTGAAGAAGGAAATCAAAGCTTCTCCATGAAGCTGGGCAGGTAGCTTTGTGAGGGAGATTCCTGACCCAGGAAGGGTGCAAGGAGAAGCTATGTGACTCCCTGGGAGGGGCTTCCTGCATCACCCTAAGGTACCTTCCAGTCCATTGATCCTCTGAGTCCCTGCAGCCCTTATCAAGCCACTGGAATGAATTATGGTTGAAACTCATGAGTCTTATTGGCCCTGTGTCTCTTGGCCCTGGAAGAACTGCAGAGTCTCCCTGTCTGTGTTATGAATGTACCAAGTTGATCTTCAGGGGCATAGCTCCCCATTTTGTTGCTTCTCCTACTTTCACCCCTTCTCTACCAGCTCCCAATCAAAGCTGGTCGGGACAGTGTCAAACTTCTGTTTGCATATGTTGGGGGGTCCTGGGTTCCAGGCACAGTGGCTGACAGTAAAGGGTAGAGGAGTTACTTGCTGCATAGGAACCCCTTTTACATCTGAATCTCTTCCCCAAATGCTTCCATCATGCAACACCGAAGGAGATCAAGTTTATCATGCAACACCAAAGGAGATCAAGTTTATCATACTCATTTCCAAATGAAGACATCAGGCCTCCAACAGGTGAGGTCACTTGCTCCAGGCTTCTTGCCTGCTAAGTGGCAGAGTCAGGATTGGAACCTAAGTGTTTCTCCAAACCTCACTCTCTAAACAGTGTTCCCCAAAGTTAAGAATACAGCTTTGCCTACTGCCAGGCCCTGGGGTTGGAGAGGAATGAGTGGGGTCTCAAAACCAGGTCCTGGAGACACCAAAAGGGCCTGTGGGACTGGGCAATGGCCTCTAGTCATAACTACTCCTGTACTTGACTTCCATGCTGTGATAGTTAAGTTTGTGTGTCAGGTTGGCCGGGTCTGGTTGAGTGGCTGGGCAGCCGGATGTAGTATTCCCCATGCTGAGACTGGTAATCAACTTCATGGTGGAATCTACTGTGAGCAGCTGAGTAGCTGCCTTAGGGATGTGGTCTATTTCCTGTATATAAGGAGAACCCTTGGGGGAATGGTTTCTAACTTGTGGCATGCTTTAACCCTGCATGTAGCTGTGTTGCTGTTCAGTCTGCCATCCTCTGCCAACCTTGGGACTTTCAGTGGGCTTGAATTAATGGCCTGTCATGTGGTTTGGTAACCTCAGGACTGCCTTTTTACTTGTCAATCTTGGGCTTGTCAGTCTTAGCAGCCAGCAGCTGCAAAACTAAAGAAAAGCCTCTAGCGCCAGTGGGTCAGGAACAGGAGGCAGAGCTGAAGCCCAAGGTTGAGGGGCTTTCACCCAGCCCCTAGAGCTTGGCACTTTGAACTTGGACTTAAAACCTTC